GTGTCATGGAAACTAGTGTGAATGATGGGTGGAGTAGAGTCCTGGCCCTTGTTGTTCTTTTCCTTCTTTCCATCTCCCACTTCTTGGCGGTCCATTGCGTGGGCGTGAATGAGATGAGTGAGCCACATGAAATGTATAGCTGCGTGTTTTGAGGCGCAGGATCTGTGGGGCATTGATGGATGGCGACCCAAAGAGTTAAATTTGGCCAAACAAGCTGCTTTTATGTACTGAGAAGAGATTTTCGGGTACTTCTTGTAACTAAAATGTGAATTTTGAAGGTGGATAGCATCGTGCCCAAAAAGTAGCCTTAAACAAGTTGGTGGCTGAAGCTTAAGCGGAACCTCAGGGCCCGAGGAGCCAGAGGAGAAATTAAAAACACTCATGCATAGATAATACCTGAATCGTGCTGCAGTGCAGCCGCCGGGCCTGGGTAGAAGCCAAAGAGTTTACCTGCCACCAGCGCAAGTCGATAAGCCAGCGGGAGAAGAGGATGTTGGCAAGATGAGAAAAACTGCGAGTGGCAGGGAAGTGGAAGCTGAAACCCTCGCCATATTTACGTAAGCTTAAATCGCACCATGTGTCTAACTGGGAGGTGTCTGTGGGGTATTTTCATACGAGAACGAGAGCGTGCTAGGAGGAGGAGAAGGAAGAGACCTCCCGCCATGTGTTGCAAATTTCTGCAGCCCTTAGCGTCTGCCCCTTCTTGCTCCGGCTCCAGCTCCCTGCACGAATAAACTATGCGGCGGTGGCGAGGCGAAAGTGCCGCCACTTGACTGCCACCCAGCCCGGCCCTGGTATGCCTTGGCCGGGTCTGGCCTGGGCGGGACACAGTGCGTGTGAGTTATGTAGATAACGCTCCGCGCAGCTCGACAGCGGCTGGGCGGGCGACCGCAGAAAGTGTTTTACTCAAAGGCATCGTAACTCTTGCGCGGCGCTTTCTTTTCGACTCTCCGTCTTTGCATCTCTCCGGGAAAGAACTTCAATTTCTGTATCTGTTCTGCGAACCGCCCTGAGTTATTGGCGACTGGGGGGAGATAGATTGAGAGAGAGAGAGAGAGACACGGAGGGGGGAAAGTTTCCCTTTCAGCTCGCTCCACACGCGCGAGATCATATTTTTTATCTTTTTTTTCTGCGCGTAGCAGCTCAAATTTAAATTAAAACTTCGGCACTTTTGCATTTTATCCTTGACTCCATAACTGGGTGGGGTAACATGGCAATGCGTGGGCGGTCCCGTTCGTTTCTTGCGACTTTCTACTAGGGGAAGTCCCGACTAACAAGTACAGAGAATGCGTGTGAAACTTTGTGTCCACATTTTGCAGTTGTAAAGCGTCAAACGCTTAAAACTTAAATAGTTATTTTTTTGCGTTGCTCTTTTTGTTGCTGCGCTGCTTCGTTATTTTTTATTGTTTTATTTTGCAGTCACTGCTGAAACGTTCTGGACTTTATGGATCAACTTTGAGGGTTTGGTTTTCCATTAGGCAAAAGTTTCGATGGAACTTTAGCGCCGCACCGCTTAACCCGCCCCCTCGTCTCGAGGCCGTACCGAATGCTTTCTGCATTCTGCTTAATTTTATTAAAATTTTGCATATTTTAGTAATTTTTTCTTTTTGCAAGACTCTCTCCGGCAGAGCCGCAGATATTTTTTACGAGGCCTTAGCGGGTGTAGGTATTTCCCTATCGTGGTGCCAAAATGTAAATGCTTATTTGAATATTTTATAAATTTTTCATTCGCGCCTTATTTCGCAAAATATTTTGCTCACATTCTTTGGGGCAACTTTGACATTGGAGCGGGTCGGGTCGGGGCGAGGCGTGATGAGGCATGTGAGTGTGTGTGTAGCTGTACGAGTATGCTAAATGTCTGAAACACGTCTGTCTCTGCTCGCTAAGGGCCAGCCAGCACACATTATGCTCTGCAGACCAGCTCCTGCACTTGCCCCTGGGCCCCTGTCTCCAACCAACCAGCCGCAAAGTAAATTTGCATACCCACACACACACCCATTCAAACACTTGCACACTCTTGTATGTGTGGGTGGCTTGGCATTCATTTCCGGGTGAAATTTATGCAATGGCTTAAATAAGCGCAAAAAATGCCATTTTACCCTCAGCAAGTGACAAAATGTGTGTTTCGTTGGGGCATAAAAAAATAATTATGCAACGAGGAGAGGAGAGAAATCATTTCCCAAGAACCAGCAGGAGCGGAGAAACCAAAAGCAGGTGCTCGAGCACTTTTGGACAAAATGAAACTTTATGCAAGTGGAAAATGTTTTCAACAACATTTGCATATGGCCTTTGGCAACTTTGGCATCTCCAACGACTATTTACACATTCGTCAGGGTCCAGGGCTGAGGCTGGAACTGGGGCTGAGCACGAGAATTTCTGGACAAAGCTCTGGCACTGACCGCATTTAGTTTTGTTGTTGATTAAGTGCTAGAGTGCAAGTTGCGGCCAGTGAAACTTTGCCCTTGCCATGGTCAAGAAAGAGCTCGGAGGAGTGAGGCCCTATGAAAACAAGATGTGCAGTTTAATCTCTCTTCTTGCTGGCTGGGTCTGGGCTTGGTATTCCGCTGGAAGTTTTTACCCACAAGTCGACACAACTCTGAGATAGATGGTAGAGGCACGGAGACACGCACACAACATGTCTCCCCCGTAGTCGTACACTTGATTTGATATGCAAAGTACTTGCAGCGTTTTATGTGAGATTCAATTTCATACACTTGGCGCCGCAGCTTGCTGCTTATGCAAAATCAATAAAGAGCATGTGAGGAAAGAGAGTGCACGGAAAATATTTACTCATGTCAAAGGGGTTACAACACCTAACAGGGGCCATGACTCCGTGACGCATTCGAAACGAAAACAAAAGCAGTACAAAGTGTTGTCAGGCGGTGTCTCTGCCTGAAAGGGTTCCATTTCGCAGAGGAACGGAGAGTTGGGCCCATCAGAAATCAATTTCCTGTGGCACAAAATGGAAAGCGAAAACTTTTGCCAAAAAGTTAAAGCCAGAATGAAGGAAGTAAAGAAAAGAAAAGTCTTGGAAAGTTTTTCCTTCGTTTTTCGTGCCCCGTGTGTGGGTATAACAACTTTTACGTTTTACCTGTCGCTTTGGCAATAAAAACACTGCCATCTGCTGCCACAATCAGTCAAACCATCAATAGTTTGATTAGGTCTCTGTGCCACATGTTGACTTTAAGCGAAAAATTAGCTCCTAGCCTCGAAAAAAGTTTCCCTCTCCCTGCAGCAAATAAACAAAAAAGGAAACTTTGAACTGTTGCTGGTTATCTGTGTGTGGTGTGTGCGTGGGGTGTGGGCATACTCGTAGAAAACTTTGACAACAGCCAGAGATACAGAGATACAGAGATACAACTACAGCTACTAGCTCCTACATATGGCCACTGCCCCAAGCACTCCAGTTGACATTTAGCAGTGTGTGCAACAAGGAAAACAACTCAAAGTCAGAATGGCCAAAATATGCACATAAATTTCATGGCCAAAAGTTGCCAAAATAACAGCCAACAACTGGATGGAGGGGATGAGCGGAAAAAGTTGCAAATGTGCAGAGATAAGCGCATACGGGCCAGGCAATGGAAGGAACTGCAAAACAACATCAGCGACAGTGAAATATAATGAAATTAAACAAATTGCTTGGATTTACCTTGGCTGCTGTAGCAGCCGGGCCCGGGGACCGAATCATTGTCAACGAGTGGCAAAGTTTTTCCCTCTGACAAATCCCTTGCCGCCCTACGACACGCCCAAGCCCAGCTCCAGCTCCTGTACAAATGAGTTGTCCTGGATGGGTTGGGTTCTGCTGCATAGCAAACGACAATTCATGTAAATTGCTTAATTTATTAGACTTTTTCCAAGGCGAAGGCAAATGAAGAGGCAGAGTCAGCCCTGAGCCCAGCCCTGTCTGGCACTTCCGCCCGCGCCACTCGGCTTCCTGACTTTGACAGCGTCTCGCGACTTTGGCTTAAGCATTTCCAATTGTTGTTGGGCTTTTCTATTTGCGCTTCGCTACAATTTCCCGCTCGTGTTCTGACGGCCTTTTGTTGTCGGCTGAGAAAAAGTTTCGCAGCATTTTCCTTAACGCTGTTTTACTTTGTTTTCGTGCTTATGTTTCTCACTCTGGCTCAGGATCGGCTCTGTTCTGCGAATTTGTTATCTTAATTCTTGTCATTTAAAACAAAAAAAAACACACAAAAATAAGCGGGGCGAACCTGCCACCATTTGTTTTTTAAATAAAACTCAAGCCAATTGAATACATTGTAGGAAGGGGAAAACTTTTGTGTAATACTCGTACAGATTAAAACTTTTGGCTCATACGTACGCCTCGTGCCAATCGTACTGGCAATATCTGGTTCTCGCGCTACGCATACGCCCCGTTTGCCATTAAAGGAAGCTCCTGCTCCTGCTCCTGCTCCTGCCACCGCGGCAATGGCACGTAATGGAAGACCGTGCCTGAGAATCGCTGTCGCTGTCGTTGTGCTTGTGCCGCCGTCAGCTTAATGGCAGCATTCATACAAATCACAGAATTGCTCGCTCCCGCCCCCCAGTTTCCTGGCTGCCATTGCACTTTTCCGAGTTGCTTTCTTGTTTTCTATGCTTTTTTTGGGTAGCGGCATGAATAATGTACGGAAAAATTCAAGAAAATGTATTGCAGCACACCCCAAACACACAAATGCAATGAGAACTGGCGAACACTGGCGGAAAAGTGCAAGAAAAGCGCGCCAGGATGAACACCATGAACACGCACACACTTGCACAGCACAACATGGGTGTATATGGGTAGATGGGAACGTACAGCGTCTGGCATTACAAACAACTAGGTTACAAGTTGAAACTTGAAAGTTGATGGCGTTACTTTCAGTGCCGGTTCTTGCCACCACACCAGGCCAGGCCAGGCCAGGCCAGCCATCCTCCGCTAGCTGCTGCTGAGATGCCTGCTCCTGCAGCTCCGCCAGCGTCAAGAAATCCCAAATGTAAAATGAAATTCATGTGAAACATACCCGAATGCCCGTTTGACAATCTTTCGATGAGCCAGCGCTGCCTCCCAGAAGCGGGACTCCTTTTTCGGCGAATCTTTGTTGGTTGGTTTCCTTTCGATTATCACATTAGCCGGGATTCAGTTCGGACGAGCACAAAAATTGGATTCGCGTCACTTTGCCGCTTGCCGCTTGCCACTTGCCACTTGCCGGCTTTTCGCAGACGTTGGTTCTCTGGGTCTGGGCCAGAACTGCTTCACTTTGTTGGCTGCTGGCAACTGGCACGATGCTCCAGCCACCGACGGCGACAAGGTGACGAGGCGACCATCGCCACTTTGCCGGATTCGCCGCATCGAAGCAGCATCGGCCACGAAGCGAGTCGCGAAAAGAGAGGGCATCCCAGCTCTCTCTTAGGTTTTTTTGTATAACAGTTTTTGTCAGTCGCCTGCTCCAGTTTGCCTCTGTGTTAGTGTGGGTGCCCGACCGTGCCTCTGTGTGAGTGTGAAATTGTGTCATTAGGTGCATTTGTTTTCGTTGTCCTGTCCACCTTGTGCTTCATGCCCCATACCCCGAAACACTCCCATCGCCTCGCCACTGTCCCGCTTTTTCCCTAATGCAGTCCAGCTCTGTGCCCGTCCCAGCCCCTCCCCTCGTTGCTCGCCGCAACATGGCGTATTTGCTGCCTCTTGTGCTTTTGTTGTTGCTGTTTATTTGCTTCATCTTCATGCCGTGTCACTTTTCTAGTGTCAGAGTGGGTGGGTGGCGCCCTGTATCCGTGTTTGTGTGAGCGGGTTTACGGCGTGTGCGTGTGTGTGTGTGGGTGTGGGTGTGGGTGGCGTCTGTCAACTCTGGCGCCGCTCATCTAACTAAATGCCAACAATTATGTTTTGGAGTCTCATTAGTTGCAACTTAAAGTGTTCTAATGTGTTGCCGTGTGTGAGAAACGATGCCGTTAATGATGTAACCATCCGCTGCGCTGTGCCAGCACCAGAATCAAGTCAAGAGCCGGGCTCTGTGTGTGTAATTTTTTGTGGGTCGAGTTCGTGTCACACGGCGTTTTGTTAATTGGTATTACCTGATACTGGCTGTTACCTCTGCCTCTACCCGTACCCATGCGGTTTGTGTATGGAAATTCATATTTATATTTGTATTTGAGGCTGTGTGCCCGTAACCCCAATGGACCGGACCGGACCGGACCAAACCGGACCGATGACAATGGCCCAGGCCGAGAACAAAGCGTGCACAATATGGCACAACTAATCACGCTGACGTTGACAGAAAATGCACTAAACAAAGAGCCAAATAAACACGGCCTCGAACCAGCCAACTAACCAGCAAACACATCCACAGAGAGCGGGGTGGAGGGTGGAGGGTGGAGGGACGGCCACACCAAACAATGTGAACGGCAGCTATAAAAATCGCATGCGAGCGAGCGAGGAGCTGCCTTAATGAATGCCCAGGTCCAGGTCCGTGGTCCGGGGTCCGGGGTCCGAAACGGAACCAGCACACAGGTTGGCAGGTTGGAAGGTTCGCAGGTCGAAAGGTTGGCCAGGAGTTCAGGTTTCTGATGTAGTTCCTTCTCCTGTCTCTCTGTCGCTCTGCTCTCCGGCCAGCACATCCAACTAATTTAAGCTGCGCCTTGTTATAATTACAGCGAGCAGCAACAAAGCTGTTGGAAAATGATGCGCACGTGACATCCGGCACTGTCTCTCTCCTGTACCGTCCTGTTCCGTCCTGTCCAGGGGTTGCGCGGCACCCTTGCTCGGGTCTCGCTCCTTCCAGCCAAGTCAAAAGGACAAAGTGCACGGAGGAGAAAAAAAAAAAAGGGTGGAAGCAAAACGAAGAAGCCGGGGAAATCAGCCATCAGCCAACAGTAAAAGCCACAGCGGCTGGAGGAGCAAGAAAAAACAAAGGCCAGGCCAGGAACGAGTCACACGCGCCAAAAGCAAACACAGCGCAGAGTGCATTCTTCTCTGTGGGGTGCGAAGAGAGCAAGCGCCACCCTAGAGTTTTTTAGAAAATTATGAGCGAGAGTGGGACTGGCTTTTTGCATTTTTTATATAATTTTCTGGGATTACTAGCGGATGGAGGTAACACGGGGAGGCTAGGGTAGGACTCAAGAAAATTAGTCGCGCTTTTCGCTTGCGCCGGATGGGAATAAAAAATAGTACGAACTGAAACTGAAGCTGAAGCTGAAGTGTAAATTTACTTCCGCTGCACAAATGTGGGCGTGTGACCAGCTGACAGCCGGAGCTGTAGGTGGACAGGAGCAGCGAAAAAACAGGGGGAGATGCGAGATGCGAGGAGTAGAAAAAGTGCAACTTTTTCTAATTAAGCGTACGTGCGGCTGTCAGCGGCGGCATCAGGCAGAGAGGGCAGCTGGCATGCTCTTTACTTGTACAACTTATTGTCGTTGACAATAGTTTTAATTGAAAAGCACCCGGGCTCCATTGTGCAACTACGTGTACGAGTGCGAGTGTGTGTGCTGGCAGAGTCACGAGTCACGCGGTAAAGACAGCTAGCTAGCTGGCTGCTTCCGGGCTCACCTCTAACAATTCAATCAACGCTACAAATGCTGACTAGTTTATTTTTCAAGACGCCCAGACAAGTGGGCGCCCGGCAGCTACATCTTCAGGTTTCACAGTGAAAGAAGGAAGAAGCTCGGCATTTGTCTTTGTAAGTGCGCTTTCCCTTGCCGGGAGCACTTCACTCGTCTGCCACTTGGCTGCCTGCTGACCAGCTGCTACTGGAGCTACATCTTCAACTGGCCTGCCAGGGAGCCCTGCCCTAATTGAAGTCCTCATCGACGTTGCTGCTGTTTGTGGGAGGGTCGGTTCGGGCGCTGTTCGCTCCGATTAGCGCCGTTGGGGAGTGTGGGAGGGTGGCTGGTCGCATAACTCAGCCGCATGCTAAATCAAGAAGCGTCTCAGCTCGAAATCCATTTCCCATAGTCATGCACTAGCAGCGCACATTTATCAAGATGATGGCAGCCGGCACATGCACAGTTTACCTGTGTGCCATAAATAAGTAAGCCATCCCCAAGCCCAGACCTGCCACTCATCCCGGCGATGCAATCAGCGCCTGGTATACCCCAACACCCATACCCATTCAACATCCATCCCTACATCCCTTCTCGGGCTGCTCTTCCTGTCTGGCTCTGGCTCTGGCTCTGAGTCTGAGGAGCTGGCTGCAAGTTTCTTAATTTTCGTTTGCCGTAAATTTGCGCACACATTTCCCTCAGCCGTGCCCCAGCCGTGCGCCTAGTCCTGGATATTGTTGTGCAGCTTGGCGTAGCAGAAAATCGCTTAAGATGCTGAGGCAATGCAAGTTTTACCCTTTTTTTTTTGTAGCTCCTCCTCCTCCGCAGTGGCAACCTTGGAACTGCAACTGCAACTGCGAGTTCGAGTCATCAGTTTTGAAGTTTGTGCCAGGTTTGCATGGCGTCTCCCGTTTGGCAGCTCGTATCTCTAGTTCCGTAGTTTCGCCCTTCCCTCTGGCACTGCCACACAGCTCCATGGCTCAACTTTATCGACAACGTTTACTTTTCGATTCGTTTCGTTTCGTTTTGCAATCTGTAATTACGAGGAGCAGCCGCTTTTGATGCTTCTGGTTTAACTTTCAACAGCTGCCAAGCAGTCCAGAATTCTCTTACTTATTCCACTCTATCTCCCCTCTTTCCTCTCTCGCCTCTATCCAATCCAATTCGATCCCTTCTATCCGCTCTGCCAGTGTGGAAATATAATCGACAATGTCGATTGGCGCGTTTGTTTTTGTGGTTTTTGGCGTTGAAAAGTTTCTTTAGTTTTTGTTATGCTGCGGATTTCTAATCTAATGGTGGAAGAGTTTTTGTTGGCTTCGTTTCTGATTGCATATTTCATGCTAGTGTTTGTCTTGCCACGTAGATGAGAGGGAGGGGGAGGCTCATTAAGCCGCGTTTGATATGCATGCGAGATCCGCAACAGGCGCTCGGCGCTCGGCGCTCGGCTTGTGCCACGCCAAGAATCCCTAAGAATCCCGCTCGCTGACGCTAATTAGAAAAGTTGCCTCAATCGGGGGTAACACTTCCGCTGCTTTTGGGAGCCGCCATTAACGCAACATTGGCGCTAATAGAGTCTTCGACTTTATTGAGGACTTTGGCAATAAGAGTTGGCCAACAAGTTTAAAGTTGTCCGCGTTGCCCTTCGATATTAAGCAGGAGCAAAAAAAAGGGGTAAAAAATCAAGGCGCAAATGACGGTTCACTTAATTTGCATTTAATTACAAAGTTCTACAAAGTCCTGCAAAGAATACTGAAGAAAAAACGCAAAAAAAAAAGAGGAACGGAATGCATCCCATCCCCGGATCAATGGCGGCTCCATGGCCGAGTAAATATTGCCAGAGATAAAGCATAAAATAATAAATAAGCAGAGATATATCTATATGCATACATTGAGTTTGAGTTCAATGTTTTTCTTCCTTTTTTGGATTCATTTCATTCACATGCAGCGACAAGGACCGACCGGCTTGCCCCGTTCTGCCCACTTATTGGTTCCGCGGCACTCAAAAGATTAAAAAGCCATTTGATGTGGACCAGTTGAGGGTCTGGGTATGGGTTTGGGTATGGGGCAAGGCCAGTGGGTAATCATCCCCGCAGCAAAGTTTTGCGACCACAGCAAAGAACAAGGGCAGTGCGGCGTGCGGGGTGCGGAAGGAGACGATGGGGAGGCGTTGGTGAGGCGAGGTTCGACAAAAGTGCCACACTGCACAACAAAACTTGATAAACAGCTCACGCAACGGCATACTTGTACAACAAATTGAAGTATAAATGAAAAGCAGCCAGTGAGAAAACATGAATTTCGCTTAAATATATATTGAAAAAGTTTTACTTATGATAATCTTTTTTTTTTTCTGGTAGAAAGCAGCACTCAAATTGGTTTTCGAGGCGTCCGTGTCCCGTCCCTAGCATGGCTTATTAATGAAGTGGGTGCTGCTGCTGCAACAACAAGGGGGAGCCACAAAAGGCATTCAGAAATTAGCATTAGCACGCATCTCCGTATCCATCTCCATTTCCAGCCTCCACTTCCTTGACCCACATTGGGCCGCGGGTCCCACTCTGACTCAAATTCGAGTGACGTGCGTGAACTTGCGCATTTCGTGCACGTCCTTGTCGTGTCCTCAATGTTCCTGCTTCAACTTCAGCATCAGCTCCATCCTACAGCTTCTACTGCCATCCCATCCCATCTCTAAGTCTCTCTTTGTGGCTTGG